ACAGCTAGAGCATGGACTAGGCTATATGCCATGAATAATATTTAAATCGATCTGATCATCAGTGTGCATCATTTCTCCTGTTCTGCCAAGACTTCTTCCTTTTTTTGTTTGCATTTAATGGACACAGTCTTAGAAACATTACAGAATAAAAGCCCAGACATCTTCAGTCCTTTGGTGATTAAATGCACATTAGCAAATCTATGTCTTGTCCTGATTCACTATTGTAAAGCATGAGCAGAGGCTAGAAGTATCATCGGGATTGTTGCGAAACGTTTAAAAGCAGTGGCCCCTCTCTGCTTTTATTCATTTCCCTCATCATGGTTTAAGTATAAAGCACTGTGAATGAAGGTAGTTGTCAGGGTTAGCTGCAGGGGTGTGGGTGTTTTTCTTTGTTTTTGTTTTGTTTTTTTGAGGGGGGAGGTAGTTTTATTTTAACTTTATGGGCTCCTTCCTCTCCCCCCCTTTTATGGCGATCTAATTGCAATGGTTAAAAGCAACTAACCAGTTCTTTAGAATATGCTCTCTAGCCAAGTCTAACTTTATTTAGACGCTGTAGATGGACAAGCTTCATTGTTTGAACCAAAATGGGAACATTAAACAAACATCACAGCCCTCACTGATAACATTGTGACTTTGCTGTCAAGTGTAGAATTCTCCCTTCAAGAAAAAGCTTGTGACCATTTTGTATGGCTTGTCTGGAAACTTCTGTAAATCTTGTTTTAGTAAAATATTTTTTTGTTATTCTACTTTGCCTTTGTACAGTTTATTTTACTGTGTTTATTTCATTTTCCCAATGTGACAATCGTATTTAAAAATTAAAACTGATGAAACACTCTGTTCTGGTCTTCACCGTCTGACAAATTGAATGGCAAGAGGTAGGTTTTGCCAGGTTCTTTTTACTGATGCAGATTTGTGTTTAAGCTATCACTGAATGGAGTATTTTTAAGCTGGCCCTGAGCATATATATAAAGCATCGGTACCTAAACTTTTTTTTACCGCCTAGAAATTTGAAATAAATATGTGTTGTCTGATTAGCTAGATGATCATTGGTGTCTTGCCACAGTGTTTGAAAATTACTGTACAAGAGAGTCATCAAAGCAGCAGTTGTGACTGACTTTACATGTTGTGCCATGTTTGTGACAGGCATTGGGGTTATGACCTTTTTCTTAGTTCTTGTCTGAAGACTTCATGTGTGACCACTGGTGTGTGTTACTAGGAAACACCAGTCCGATGATCATTTGGGGTTTGCTGAGGCATTTGAGTTTTCCTTAGAGCCCTGACGAGCAACTCTTCAGCAAGCAGCTTGCCTAAGTGTCCTGTTACTGATTCTTCCTTTCGTTCCTCTAGTGTTTGCTATGGGCGCTCCTTTTATTTTTTAGTTTGTTATTCGGTAATTTTTTCTGCATTGACAGAGCTCCTCCCCTCACAAACTCTACTTTCCCACCCCTCTGCATATCTAATTCTTGATTCTTGTTTTTAAGTCATCAATGTAGCCAGTCTGAGTATGTAAATGTTAACCTGTGGGTCGGAACCCTGTCTCTCGCAGTTTTAAGATAATGGATATTATAACCCATCTGAATTTCCCCCACTCTTACTCTTGTAACTTCTGGAGTTTCTTCAGAATGTGGTGTATTTTATTGTGCTCCTATGTAAGATGGAGAATTATCTATTAAAATTACATTTTCAACATAAAAAAAAAAAAAAAGACTCCAGTCCAGGTGGCAGCACCTGTAGCCACTAAAGTCAGGAATCCTGCCCTCAGGCCACAACCAATCCTTCCTTTCAGGTCACACTCAAAGCCATTAAGTTTGGGCTCCTCTAAGAAAAAGTTATTGCTTTCTGATACCACTGACATTAAAAACAAAGCAAAACAAAACAAAAAAATGGAGTGAAGAGGTCTGTATAGGATGTCATCATTTTATTTTGCCAAACTGGGGCTTTAAAAGAAAAAAAAATTCTATATTTATCATCACTTCATAAAAATAGGATCAGAATAAAGAACAGTTGGCCATTTTTCAAACACACACACACACACACACACACACACACACACACACACACAACACACTGAGGATGATGCATAATAAACACTCATATGCAAACTGCCTTTATTAATAATAATGGCAGCCAACATTTATTTTCACTTACTAAGTAATACGCATTCTTCTAAGTGTTTTAGATACATTATCTCACTTATTCCCCACCTCTACGATGTAGGTCTCTTATTACTGCCATTTTATAGAGAAGAAAACAGAGGCAAAGAGAACTGAAATAACTTGCTCAGAGTCCCACCCCAAGTGGAATGTGGATTCAAAACCAGACGGTCAGGCTCCAGAGACTCTAATCTGCTTTTTTCTAAAGACCACCTGGTAAGAGAGACACAAGCTCCACGTGAGACAGCCCCTGTTCTCATGATGCTTGTGAGTGCCACTTACTAGTCTGGAGATCTTGGGCAATTTACTCAAACTGGGTCTGCCTCAGTTTTGCTACCTGAAAAATGATGGTAAGAACAGGCCTTTCAGACAAATACCATATGATCTCACTTATACGTGGATTCTAAGGAACTGAATGGATGGGAGATGTGGACGGAGATAGTCTCAGAGACACGGAGGAAAAACTGAGGGTTGCTAGTTGGGAGGGGGTGGGGATGAAGGAGAAGGGGAAGGGATGGGACAATACAAATTGGTAACTACAATCTGGCCTCAGGGATAGACAAGACAGTCTGGGGAATATAATCAACAATGTTGTAAATATTTCTTAGGGGGCCAGATGGACTCAAGTCTTGTTGGGGAGACCACTTCATAGTTGGTGTAGAGGCCTGACCACCACACTGTATATCTGAAGCTGATGCTGAATAATATTGTATGTCAACTATAATTATATATACGTATAGTCACGGGACGTGGAGTAGAGAGTGGGAATGGAGTCAATGGAATTACAATAGATAAGCATGATATCGGGGGTGGGAGGGCAGTAGATGGGGGAGGGGGGTTGTTACTTTGTGAGGGTGAAAAGGATAACTATTGCATTGTTCTGTACACCTGAAACTAACAATAAAAAACTTAAAAGAAAAAAAAAAGAACAGGCCTTTCATAGGGTTTGCTATGAGGTGTTAATGCAAGGAAGAACATAGTTCAGGGCTGGCAACAGAGTAAGCACCTATAAATGACTATTGTTTTATTAGTGCCAGTAGTTTGAATGTGGATAGCTAAGTTAATTGTAAACTGTACCTCGTTCTCATACCATACTCTGGGTTCAGTTATTCCCAGTTAACAGCTTTGTTATCCTCATAAAGTCAAAGCATTTCTCTGGGTGTTTTTAGAGACAGACTCCAGGACCATGCTGACTGATCCCCCTCTACTCCCAGCCCTCAGTCACTACTACAGATGAGATTCTGACTTTCAAAGCAGGCAGCCAGCTACAGAGCACCTCTTGAGGAAAGCTTGCAAGGTTTTCTGTGCCTGTGTTTTCATCTAGTACAAGTGCAATGGGAAAAGTCATTTCCAAGACTCCTGGCATCCCCCAACTCTGCCTACTGCTCATAGAGATGTAAGATTATCTCGGGATTGGGGTGATGGGGATGCCTGTGTGGCCCCATAAAGCAACAGGCAAGTTTCAGTGCGATTTAGTTTCCAAGAATGTGTTTCATAGTTTCCCCCCAAAATTCCATTCAAGGTGAGATTTGTTCATTCATTCATTCAATAATGTTTTATTGAGTTCTCGCCTCATGCCAGGACTGGTATTGCAATAGTAAACAAAAGGACAGAATCCTTCCCCTAAAGATGCTGACATGGGTGGGTAGGTGGAGGTGCACTGAGAAGGCATCAGTCAGTTAGAATGGAGGGGGTCAGTGTCTGGGTGAGGACAGGTCATGACGGAGTGCATGGGGTCAGGGAACTTGACCCAGACTCTATGACCAGGGAAGGAGGTCTCAGGGTCAAGGGCATCCACGCTGCTCTGAAGGATTTCTCGGCATTAGCCAGATTAAGATAATAGGAATATAGTGGGATGAGAGAAGAACATGAGCAAAACTAACAGAAGTGGTAGTAAAAATGAGCTATGTTTTAAGAACTGCACACACTGCAGTAAACGCTTAATTGAAATGAAATATAGTGACTCTATTTGTGCTTCTCCTTCATTTATTCATAAAGAAAAAAATTCTTTAAATTTTTTTTAATTTTTAAAAATGTATTTTTCCATTACCGTTGATATACAATATTAGATGAGTTTCAGGTGCACTAAACAACATAGTGATTACACATTTATGTACCTCGCAAAGTGATTACCCCAGTAAGCCTATTACTATTACTAAGTCTGACACTGTATAAAGTTATTACAATGTGAATTTATACAATGATGCAGCTCAGCATTGAACCACTACAACATAATCAGATGGATCCTATAAGAGGTAGTGGAATTTGGCTTAGCGTCTGCGTGAGAGATTAGCAGAAAACCCTAAGAATTAATTTTTTAAATAAAATCATGTTACAAGTAAAGAAATTTGAAGGTGTTTTTCACTAGCATGATTCTATCATAGATTTAAGCATGAGAAAAGAAAGAAGAAGAGATCATAATATATTTACCTTGAATTCTGTTTTTTGAAAGTTAAGGCAATATGAACTTGGCTTGTGGAAAACATAGATATTCCTGAAAAACATTATTTATAACAGGTTATTGTCATTATAGGCAACAGACTAGTACTATTGTACATGTTGAGTTCCTTAGACTCAATTACAGGCAGAACAAAATGAAGACAAGATAAAAGTTAAAAAATAACTCAGAAACAAGAAAAGTGGTTGCCAGGGACTGAGGGTGCAGGAAATAGGGAGAGGTTGGTAAAATAGCACAAAATTTCAGTTATATGAGAAATAAGGTCTGAAGATCTATGTCTAACATAGTGACCATAGTGGATAACACAATTGTACAATTGAAATTTGCTAAGTGAGTAAAACTTAAATATTCTCATCAAAAATAAATTAATTAATAAATTAGTTAATTAAATAAAGGACATATGTGAGGTGATGGATGTATTAACTAAGATGATAGGAGGAATCTTTGATAATGTGTACACATGTCAATTCAAAATAATGTACACTTCAAATATCTTACAATTTTCTTTGTCAATTATACCTCAATAAATCTAGGGAAAAATAACAACTGTATTGAACTAGTTACCTGAAAGAGACAAAAATTACCTCTCTCAGTGACTAAACTGTAAAATTGGTTTGGCTTTTAATGTTCTAGGTGGACAATCAACTCTGCCATTTTTTTCCTTCTAACATTTTTGTTTGATATTATATCAACATCAAACTAACATTGGCTTACCTCTTTTAAATAATAGCTCTAAATGAATAGCTTATATATTGGCTATATTAAATGCACAGATACAAAAAAAATTGTACTTACTGGAAGCATACACAGAAGTCTTCAAAATCTAACCATATTTCTTTAGAAACACCATTATTTATTGCTATAAGTTCCTCTTGTGATTTTTCCAGTGCTGTTGTCGTCTGGCTGACTAAATCTCGCTCCAAACTAAACCCCTCAGCTAGATGGGCTGTGTCATTCAATCCAAGGTCTATTAGTTCATCTGTGCATGGCAGGAGACAGACATGTCAAACACACTCCTCTGTTGTTAAATATTAATTTATGAAGGTATGGAAAATTATGCAGGGGAGTTCATATATCAAAGTCTATTTTTGAGAAAACATTCACTGAGATAACATTTACATGCAGGCCTCAAATTTGTGGAGGTCCATATAGACACACATATTCATACACTCAGGAGAATTTAGTCATGGCATACGCATAAGTAGAGTGTTTCTAAACACTCTATGAGTAGGAATTTCTAAATCACTTTCATAAATTTGGGCACATATTCTTTTGAGACTATAGAGTTATAACAGAAATTAGCCATCTTATGTACTTGAAATCTGCTATAAACAGATATATTCATATAAAAGGGGATGGCTCAGACAACAGAAGGAGAAATGAAAACTTGAAAGATCTATTGTGATTAATGTATTTCAGTAAGGGACTTAATTACTCCACACGGTTGGTGATTCTGTAATCTCATTTCATGTTCATCAGGTAACTCCATAAAATTCTGACAAACTCCTTGACCCCAAATTTGCCACCTTACACTTTATGGGATTTGAAGTTGGGCCAAGTCTTCTTTATTTAGGAACCGAGGAATTTGCAATAGTTTTAGTACTTTGATCACAACGTGCATGCATTAAAAACCTGTGAACTTGACTCATGGGACTTTAATCAGATAGTCTTTCATTTTTACTTTAAGTTTGACTTTATTAATAACAAATGAGATTATCAGATTTTTCTTGTCCAGAGCGGATTAGACTCAGTACATCAGAGAGACACTGGAGAGAGACTGCTGAGAGGCGGGGGAGGGAGAGCTAAAAGCTGTTGAGAAGCAGAGATCCCTTTGTGCTTTGATGTCTATGAAAAAAAAGCCATGAGAAGATTATCAACTTACCTTTTCCAAGTGTAACCTGTGGAGCAATTTTACCCTGTGAATTGAAAGGAACACATTTAAAAAACCACATATAAATTCAAGAAAACATTGCAGCTATCCAGTGCACTACAGTTTTTAAAAGAGTCAACAGAGTCTTTTAAACATTGAAGAACTAGATTTCTGAAAACACTAAGGCATACAGTAAAACAGAATTTGTTTTTAATCTTAAAATTCAAAAAATGTAAATGTAATGAATAATTGATTGAGGGTTTAAGTTTGACATTAAAATGCAGAATATTTGAGTGAATTAAATGATTGAATCTTGTAATAAAAGTTAAAGTAAAACAATAATATCCCTAAGTAGATATATAACTTGATATGAGACATCTGTCATTAATACAGATTGAGTATAATGAGATTATGATTGGCAGTTAATGGATAAAACCTAGAAAGACTGGTTTCAAATTATAAAAATGGTTCCTCAAAATTTTAAGAGGGGAATTAAGTCAAATTCACATGTACAACTCTGTTTTCTCTGGAATATGATTAAAATAAGTATAAAAGATAAAATGGTATAAATTTGTACAGACTGATGATGGGTAATGTTGACAATATTTTGAATGATGTAAAGTGGTATCTCTAACAGAGTAGAGATAACGGAATACTCAGTGCTAGTAAGAAGAAAGCCTATTCATGCCTTAGGACCCCGGAAACAATTAGTAGGCATCTGAGAAATAGAGAATGAGATATGAGCTAAACACAGGAATGGGGTGAGTGTCTATATAAGGAACAGACAATTCTCCACTCCTCGCTAATGCATTCAGCATCTAGAGTTCTTCTGCCTAAACAGGACACTGGGAGTTGCTTATAGTGGAGAAATTACAAGAGAAATCTTCAGATCTGGGTTCACAGATAACATGGAAAGCAGGAGGAGCTACGATACAGAGAAGACAGGAATTAGGTAAATGTTCACATGCTGAACCTTGAGGCTTTCCGCAACTCTGTGCTGCAAGCTCCAGTAACACAGGTGGATAAGTGTATGCCAATCCCTGAGACCCCACTCCACCCCCGTAGGGAGATTAGATGACCCTCAATGGCAGAAACTGACCAGAGCATCGGAAAAACCTCAGGGAATCTGACACTTGGAACTAATCCCACCTCCAAATGAAGCTAATTCATCCCCAGTGATCCTAAATTAAAGATACCAGTTGTCAAGCTCTATCAGTGCCGTAAAGCTGCTTCCAATCATTAGCTCTCTAGTGTCATAAATTCCTTAAATGCATGTGTACAACAAAGTATGGCCAGGCAACTGAGGAAAGGTTCTTATGTAAAAGATACTAATTGGTGTAGGTGAGGAGAATCATAGAAAACAGAGACGATAATATAAGAAGAAAATTTTCAAATTAGCAAGATCAGAAAGGTAAGAATTCACTTATCAAATAATAAACGGCTACAAAAATATAATCAAGAACAAGAGAGAGCTCTTAGAAACTAAATATAGGAAAGTGAAATAAGTTCAACAGAAAGTTTGAATGATAAAGTTGAGGCAAATGACAAAGGGACTAAAACTATAAAACTTTCATAAGAAAACACGGCAAAAGCTTCATGATATTGGATTTTTTGAATAGGATACCAAAAGCACAGGCAACAAAAGTAAAAATAGATAAATTGGACTACATCAAAATAAAAATCGGATATTCAAAGGACACAATCAATAGAATGAAAATGCAACCTACAGAAATTAGTTACAAAAGATATATTTAATAGAGGGTTAACATCCAGAATATACAAAGAACAACAACGAATTTTGTTTTTAATGGGCAAAGAACTTGAACATTTATCCCAAGACCATATATAATTGGCTGATAAGCAAATGAAAAGATGCTCAGCATCACTAATCCTTAGGGAAATGCAGATCCAACCTACAAGGAGTTACCACCTCACACCTATTAGGATGGCTACTATTTAAAAAGCAAAACAAAACACTAATTTCTACCCTCAAGTAATGGTCTAGAGCAGCTGTTCTCAACCTTCCTAATGCTGCGACCCCTTAATACAGTTCCTCATGTTGTGGTGACCCCCAACCATAAAATTATTTTCGTTGCTACTCTATAACTGTAATTTTGCTACTGTTATGAATCGTAATGTAAATATCTTTTTGTTTTCCGATGGTCTTAGGCGACCCCTGTGAAAGGGTCGTTCGACCCCCAAAGGGGTCACGACCCACAGGTTGAGAACCGCTGCTCTAGAGACTACAGATAACCTTCTGATTCTTGATCTTTTATATGTGATTCTTTCTGCCCTCTTGAAAAGTTTTAGGATTTTCCTTTTATTCTTGGAATAATAAAATTTTACAATGATTGGCCTTGGTGATGATTCTTTTAATATGAACTTGGTACTCCATGAGCCTGTTCAAGCTGGAAACTCATGTTTTTCAGTTCTGGAGAATTTTCTTAAACTATTTCCTTTAGAATTTCTTTTTCCCAGTACAATATTAAATACATTCACATTGCTGTGCAACCAATGTCCAGGACTCATGTCATCTTTCTAAACTAAAACATTATACCCATGAAACAATTTCTCATCACTGCCTCTCCTCAGCCCCTTAAAACCATGTTACTTTTTTGTCTCTAGAAATCTGACTACTTTAGGCACCTCATATAAATGAAATGATACAGTATTTGTATTTTGTAATTGGCTTATTTCAATTAGTATAATATCCTCATAGTTCACCCATGTTGTATCATGTGTCAAAATTTTTTCCTTTAAGGTGAAATAATATTCCATTGTGCATATATACCACATTTTTAAATCCATTTATTCAGCAATGGACACTTGGTGAATAATGCTGCTATGAACATGGGTGTACAAATACCTCTTTGAGATGCTTCTTTCGATTATTTTGGATATATACCCAGATATGAAAGAGTTGTGGAATATGGAATTGGATACGGTTGTTCTATTTTTTATTTTTTCAGGAACCACCATACTGTTTTCCATAGTGACTGTACCATTTTATATTCCCACCCAGAGTGCACACAGGTTCCAATTTCTCCACATCCTCACCAACACTTACAAAGGATTAAGGAAGTGCTTCAAAATTCTGAGAGAAAGAACATCCAAACTGGAATTCTATGTCCCACCAAAACATAAATCAGGTGGGAAGGTAGAATATGGGTATCTTAAAACATAAAAATTCTCATAACTTTCACTTCCCATAAATAGCTTCTCAGGAAATATTGGAGGATTAAGGCATAAACTAGGAAGAGAACATAGTTTCTGGAAAATAAGAAATCAATCAGAGGAAAGAAACAAAAGGAAGTCCAAAGATGACAGGGGCAAGTTTTCCTCAAGTTTAAACTGGAACAAAAGAGCAAAGGATCCAGCGGGTGATGTCTCCAGGAAAATGGTGGGCATTAACAGCATATCTGATGCGTTTGTGTGGCAAATGGTGTTCAGAGGGATTTTCTTTTTTTTTTCCTTTCTTTTTTTTTTTAGAGTTTGAGAAGGCCTACTAATGTGTCATAGAAAAACATGCAAATAAAAAAATGCACTAATTAGCTTGTACAAAAAGTTGCATAAGGAAAGAAATGTCATAATATTTGCTTCAGCAATAATAATCCTTATACAGCTAGAATACTGATTCAACAAAAACTTGTGAAATGAAAAAATCTGGAAGACAGAGGAAAGTCGAAGGATGTGGAGAAATTCTTATCTTCCATAACAGAAAGTCAAGAGATAATGTCTACATTCATAGATCAAAAAATAACAGAATCTGGTCATCTAACAAATCTGTGATGGTATCTGCCATACAGTAGACATTTTCACAGGCGCTGAAGGAGAAACAATACATAACAAAACCAACATCTCAGTCATCATAAAGCCTACTATTTAGAAATATGGAGGGACCTACTAGAAGAAACTTTTAAATAAAGTAAGTGATTGTGAAAAGGAAGGTTAAGTAACGAGGAGTGATAAGACAGATTGACTATTGTTATGATCTTACTGGTAATTTTGACTCTTTAAAATGACTGCATGCAATAAATTTTTAAAAAATCTTTAAAATGTTAAAACCTATTCATTTTCCTTACAAGATTCTCATCTTGTAGTCTCTGCTTTCCAACTAATACTGAAAAAAAGGTTTACCTATATGTGATGGTGTGCCCTCCAAGGTATCGTGCACCATCTATAGAGTTTGGTAGAAGTAAACTATGGTTCATTCATATAATGAAATATTAAGAATAAAGACACTCTTTAGGTATAGATATGATAGTATTGCCAGTATGTATTAAGTAAAAACTTTTTCAAATTAAAAAAAAATTTAAATTTTAAATTTTAATGTAAAATTTGAGTAGAAAAAAAGGAGGTGGTGGAATGGTGTGTGTGTATGTGCGCGTGCGTGCATGCGTGCGTGCGTGTGTGCGTGTGTGTGTGTGTGTGTGTGTGTGTGTAATATTTACGTAAAGAAACCCTGACAGTGTCCTAAAGAAGGCAGAGTAGTGAAAACAGGAAAGGGCCATAAATGGAAGTAAGACTTCTTAATGTATGCCTTATATTTTTATTTTTGAACATGTGAATGTATTCTCTATTTAAAAATAAATACCTTTTCACACCCGTCACATTGGCAAAAGTTGAAATGTCAGACAATATAAGCGTTGGCCAGGATGTGGGGCGGAGAATATTGTCATCCGGTGCTGACAGGCATGGGTATACATGCCCCACACCGGGAAACTGCTTGAGGTTAAACTGTGAGGTTAAACAGGTGAATGTCCTGTGACCCAACAATTATACTCCCAGGTTCATATCCCAGCAGGGCTCCCTAGTCTAGCGTCCACCGGGGCCAATGGTGAGATTTCAGGAGTCCATAAACATGGACAGTTTTTAAAAAATTACATCTTTAGCTGAAGTTCAACATTTTCTTCCATTATCAATTTACCAATTCAGATGAGTTGCCACAATGCTATTAGCAATAACTGTGACTTTATCCACAAGAGAAATCACAATATTTTACCTTATATTATAGTTGTTGTAAATATCTTAAAATATCATGTGTGCTGATCAGGACTTTGAAATTGTAGCAATTAAGCCCATTATTAGATTTCAAGGGGTCCTGTCTACCTGTGTACAGATACTCCTGTGACCTGTAGCTGGCCAACTATCTGGCAACTATATTTAGTAGTCATTCCACCACCAAGTAGTGAGGTTGTGTTCTCACAATGCTAACCCAGACAGCTATATTGCCTTCTACTGCTCCCTAACAAAAATATTCAACCAATATGCAGAAAGAGATGAGCTGTTTTCATCGTGTGTTAAAATTTTAGAAAATGGACAATGGGAGACATAGCACATAAAAGTTTCTGAACCCTGGAACTAAAAAAACTCGTGAACATGTGTACAGAGACATTCAAGAATACTCATGGTACCACTGTTTGCAATAGTAAGAAACAGGAAGCAATGAATATATCCATTAACACTGTGAAAGTTATGTATTAATTGCCTTCCACCAGTGAAATGCATGAACTGTGACCATGCAACAAGAGATAAATCTCACAAAGGATGTTAAACGAAAGAAGTTCCAGGAGAATTAATGCAAGAGCCCATTTAAGTTAAATTACATAACAATTAAACTGAGCTATATATTGGTTATAAATGTATACTTAATTGGCAAAATTCAGAGTATGGAGTTAATTAATACCAAACTGTAAGTGGCAGATAGAAAACACAACCTAGAAGAGACACACAGGGGACTTTTGGAAGAGATGACTATTCCATTACACTGATCTAAGTGATGGTACATGGAAGCTCACTTATATTAATATTTATTCTGTTCAGATGCATGTTACACATTCTTTTTTATGTATAATATATCTCATAATTTAAGAAAAACCTTATAATTAAGAAATGAATCACTAATAAGAGTACCGTAGTTACCTGAGACATAGTTCCTGTCAATTGACTTAATTCTGATGGACTCAAGTTTGCAGTTTCATCATTTTCAGTAAAGGAAGATAAACCAGATCCTGGAGGCATCCCTTTCTTAATAAGATATTGTACATAATGACTAACAGCGAAAAAAAGAAAAAGAAAAAGAAACTTCTGTTATCTTAATCTCTTGTTTAAAGTTACTAATAAGTAACTGCAGTTTTGTATTGAGATGTAATTGCACATAACATTATATTAGTTTCAGGTGTACAACAAATATTTCGGCATTTGTATATATTGTAAAATGTTCACAAGTCTAGTTAACATCCATCACCACACAGTTATAATTTTTTTCCTTGTGATAAGAACTTTTAAGATCTCTCTTAGTAACTTTCAAATATACAATACAGTATTATTAACCATAGTCACCATGTTGTACGTTGTATCCTCAGGACTTATTTATTTTATAACTGGAATTTTGTACCTTTTGACTCTCTTCACCCATTTTTCCACCCACCAATCTAACCAATCTGTTCTCTATGAGTTTGTTTTCCTGTTTTCTTGTTTCCTTTTTTTAAAGTTATTTTTTATTTTTTAGATTTCACATATAAGTGAAATATGGTATTTATCTTTCTTTGTCTGACTTATTTTACTTAGTATAATACCCTCAAGGTCCATCCATGTTTTTGCAAATTGCAATGTTTCTTTCTTTTTATCACTGAATAATATTCAATTTTATATTAAGTGCAATTTGTCAACAATAGAAAGTTCTGATTTTGTTCATTTTATCATTCCCATTCTTTTACAATTAATCATATTTTTCCTTCATGTCAAAAACATTGAATTCCTTTCTATATTACTGAAGAAATGTTCTCTATCAGTCACCGCAACTGTGTAAAAATTTTCTGGAAACTATTTTAAATCCTTTTGCCGCAATGGCCGGATATATCCAAAATTTTTTTTTTAAAGATTTGTATTGGGGAATTGGGGGGTTGGGAACAGTACTGGGAAACTGGGGGAGGGGGAACAGACACGTTGCTGTCGTTTTGTTCTTCAGTCTAGCTGTGGAGGACGTTGCCTCACTGGCCCAAGTTGGCACCATCATTGCGTTCCTCCCCGGGGGAGGCAGATCAGTCGTGGGCCTCTGGACGGCCACTCACTGCGGCTGATGGCCGCTCACGCTGGCTGCTGGCTACACACGGTAGCCCATGGCAACCCACTGCCACAGGGGCTGCAGCCTACGCGGTCGCCAGCGACCCACTGCAGCCCAGCTCCAGGTTGAGTCGCTGCCCAGCATCTTAGCTGTGGAGGGCAGCGTCACCGGCCCCCACATGCGGGATCCGAACTGGGGCCCTCTGGCATCCCAAGCCAGCACTCAACCATCGCACCACTCGGCAGGCCCTATCCAAAATTTTTATACATAAAAATAATGTCATTTATATACAAAGCAGCTCAAATTGTTATTATTAAATGCATAAAATAGTGAAAATATAAACTTTTTGTTTTTTGTGAATTTCTGACAGATTTTGAAAAAAAAACTTGAAATCAATTAATGCAGTGAAAGAGTTAAAGCTGTGGTCATCAATTTTGAATATTCATCAGAACATAAGAATTTCATAACATTTAGATTGACTTACGTAAGTCTCAAAGTAATGTATCAGTGTAATAGGTTCAGAGTCAAATTTTAATTATGAGTCTTGAGCACTTAAGTTTATAATTGAGACATTCATACTAGCAATTCAAGTTTACAGTATTTACTTTCAAGTAATTGCTATATGACCCCAAATCACCATTGCCATAGCTAGAAATTTATAGGCACAATAAAAAAGACATATTTTATAGTATATATATTTTAGGTAAATGTGTTTCAAAGAAAAAATTAAATTTCATGTATACAGACTTCCTAGACTTTCTATAAAACAATTCCCCTCAAGCTAAACGTCTTTGATTTACCCGGAACTGCCACTAGAGGGCAGCACAGACATATTTATGAGGCTCCCATTTTGTCAAACACTGCCAGGCGCCAAGAATGGGCAGATCTAACATGTTGCTACAGTGACAGTGTTCCAAAGAAAGACAGTAGTGGCAACTGTCACTTTCAAGGGCTCGCAAAAAAAAAAAAAAAAAAAAAAAAAAAAAAGAACTTGCTTTTATGTTGACCTCATAACGCTTTACAGCAAAGTGGGAGAAGGGACATTTCTTTCACGTAGGAGGAAATGCCAATCATATACCTTTGTGTTTGGCCCTGACAGATAGAACGAATATGCTATCAAATTCATAATACAATAGTTCAAGTAGTGAATAGATTAATTGAATCCAATCAAGCATTAAAGTCACCTGTACCTGGGTCATAGAATTTAATCCACCTTAATCAAGTAATAAAGGTGAAAGGAGGTATAAGAAAATCAAGGAAGAAAGCAAATGGAGTTCAGGTTGTGAAACCAGCTCATTGTGGTCCCTGTGGACACAGGTTTCAGAAGTCTGGGTGTGGCATCCTGAATCATGAGAAAACTTGTCCTGGTAGTTTGCTGCCCTGGTTCTTACAATCTATAAGAGCTCTGACTAATATGCACCCTCAATCAGCTGAGAAAAAAATGAAAAATTACCCGGAATGGTAAAATCGTCAGCTGAGTGGGTATTATTAAGCATAAAATTAGAAAAATAATGAAACATTAACATGTTAATGTTAAATTTAGGATAATTCTACATATATGTGGGTTTTTGGTGTTGTTTTGGGTTTTTTTGCATTTGTAACACTTGAAAGAATTTAGCATGTTATATAATCCAACAAATTAGGCTTTAAAAATGTATATTACAATATTTAATTTTAGCTTTATGATTAAGTTAAAAGATAAGAAAATTTTGGTTTGTAAAGACTAACAGTATGGATGGGAAAAATTAAGGTTTGCAAATACATGAGTTTGATTATTTGAACTTTTAATATGACTGACCACTTGGCAAGATTTTATTTGCTATGATTTTTGGCATTAAAGTACTTAAAGAGAAAATAAAATATACAGCAGTAATGTTGTAAATGCAATTTATGATGTTTAAATTCAGCTAACTAAATTTATTTAAAGCTTTTATAAAAAGTAATAGATTTATGTATAAAATAAAAATTATTATAAATTAAAATGAGAGTTTGAGGAAGATGTAACAGTAACAAATTTTAAAACCCAGAGTAGCAGGAAATGGTCTTTTTCTGTTTATGAAGCTGTCCTTCAAGGCTTGACATTGCTAACTGCCAGGGTCTGTGCTGCCTCAGGGTCCCTCCTCACCCACTGCTCAGTGTTCAATCATCAATGCATAGAAATGACAGGATCCTTAAAGGTTAAAGATTTGAAGAATATCTCTTAATATTCTCAACTTAAATAGAGTCCATAAAAATGTAAATTAACTGGCTATGAGGTAAAGAGGCTTTAAAAGTAGGATGACTTTTCTAAATTTTGACTGCTTTTCTGCTTCGGTTTCTATTCCTATCATGGATTTTAATACATCCAAGAGAAGGCTAAGGTCATATCTAATGGTCATTATATGTGTGACCTATAATATAAGCCATGCAATAATTTTAATAAAGCTTTACTGAAGTTTAAAATACATTCAGAAATACTGGAGAGAAATCTGGTGCCTGTCCAGTCTGCCCTTTGAGTGTGTCATCCTTGCAGGTGACCAGGTGAGGTTCTGACCCAGTCCAAAGCTGGCCACTGAGTTCGCTGGCCTGGGGGCCTTCTGGAAGGGAACCCACTATAGGCCAAGTTCAGTGACAGTCTGTGCCTGCTCGGGGCCACCTGGCATGAGCCACAAAGCAATTCAGAGATGGCTGCCACCCAAGCTGTTTCTTGGAGGTGCCTCAAGAAGGCAAGCTGCAAACCAAGGCTTGCTAGTACCGGGCTTAGGGGTGCTCAGCAAGAGGCTCAGGACATGCGGAAGCCAGATGTTGCTTGTTTGGGTTTTGTGGACCTTAGAGATTTTAGGAAAGTCTGCAGTATGAGCCAAGGCAGGCCGTTTATACGGAAAAGCCACTGGAAGCGGCTTGGGTGCGTCTGAAAGTTAGGTGGGGTGGGGTCTGAGGGAATAACTAGGGCAGAGCAGATGAAAGGTGATAGCCAGTTTGATGGAGACACAGATACGGTGTCTGCCTGTGTCTGCACGCAGGGAGGGGGCGGGCTCAACAAAGAAACAATGGCTTCCACCAGCTCCTCCATCCAGCAGAAAGCTGCCCCTCCAGCCCTCACCCTGAGGCCAGACAACTCAGTTCCTCCCCTTATGTCACTGGCACCTTGAGCTGTTGTCCCAGTGCTGGAGCTCAAGGTGAGTGAGCCCATCAGTGGGTAAGTCTGTGCATGGGTACCTTAGGAGAAGCACCTAAGACAGCAGCTGCCCTCCATCTCACTCAGCCAGTCTCTGCTGGGTTTCACAGTCAGAACTTATGGGGACTTCTCTCCCTGGCACTGAAGCCCTGGGCTGGGGGAGAGGCTGGGACTCCTCATTCCCCGTGGGGGGGGTGAGGTGGGGGCAACTCCGCAGCGAGGTAGCCCTCCCAATTTTTTTTTAAAGATTTTTATTGGGGAATTGGGGGGATGGGAACAGT